AGTAGGACGTCAGGTGGTCTAACGAATAATTTTACACATTTTATTTTCACTATAAATAGTAGGACGTCAGGTGGTCTAACGAATTTGTAAGAAATGTGATAAGGCTGTAGAGCTTGAGAACGTGACTTCCTGATGTTTGTAAGAAATGTGATAAGGCTGGAGAGCTTGAGAACGTGACTTCCTGATGTTTGTAAGAAATGTGATAAGGCTGTAAGCGTTTAAAGATGGTGACATAATTCAATCCCTTGAGGAAAGAAAGCTAACCTAAAGCAGCTCTGGAAAATAAGTTGTTCTAAGATTTATTTTTATGAATCTGTACAGTAACTAGCTAGAATTTATTATTAAACATTACAAGTTTGGTCTAAGATTTTTCTCTATGTGTAGCAGAGATTTGATTTCCAGTATTTTATATTACAATTATAAGTTGTGTTTTAATTATTTATCAAACGGTAATGTCACGTTTATTTCCTGCTACACCAGACAATATACTCATTTGACGAAAATAAGAATAGACCGTGAACTAAATCACTTACGAAGAAAATCTTGGTCTTACCTTGTATACTTTTTTTACAGAAACCAATGATAAATCTAAGTATTGCTTTGTATTCTTTTACCAGGACCCACTGACAAACCCTTTTCTTTCATGTGTTTCCACAACCAAAAGATATACCCGGTTTTGTGGATTGTTGGATAAATTTAGAATAGGGCAGTGTAAGAAAATTTAACAAATTTATTTACCTTTAGCGTTCTCTAAATTGCTTCCAACTTTCTAGCCATCAGTTCATACCAAGAACAAATAAATTAACAGATACACACAAAAAGACTAATTGAGCGCTGTGTTTATAATTTATCATGCTGTCGTGGTTAGTAGCGCGTACAATAAGACTAATTAGGAATTAGACTTAAATAATTGTATAGGTTACGAACCATGACAACGATTGATGTCCGGTCGCAAGAGCCTTATCAAAAGGGCGTATTTGAATCACGTTGTGTTAAAAAATCCAATAGATAGAGTGTTCTTGTAAATCTTCGATCGTTCAGAAAAGTTGAATCAGCTGTGTGTAGCCTCAAATCAAATATTTCAAAAGTGATTAACATTATTAAGCAAAATAAAATAATGAAGCGCTTCAACCGTGATTCTAAACGGAAATAATTTTAGGGTACACAACGAAGCAACCTCAAAATAATAGTAATAATAAAAAGTCTACTGTTAACGTGAAATAACTACTAGTGGCATGAAGTTGATTTACCTGTATAAATGTTATCCCATTTTCTGGACGAAGCACAACTACTGCACTGGAACAGCTATCTTCAACAGTCTCTTCCAGGTCTTCATTATCTGCTATGAAATTCCCTTTTTTGTTAGTATCTCTGATGGTTGTGGCGGCAGGGGGATCCACTGGCAGAGGGGTGATTGAAACTGAATGTATTGGTGCATGAAAGAAAATATACTTCAACACTTTTGGGGACAAATAATAAGAAAGACCATATACACAGTTAATCATGAAATTCTTATTTTGTATTTACTTTCTAAGAATAAACTCTACAATGTTTGTAAGAAATGTGATAAAACTGGAGAGCTTAGGAACGTGACCCTTAACAAACTAGAAGAATACTCATTAAAACGAGCTTCGATTACATAGAACTTTTACTATTATACTAAATGCGCTAAATATGCCTTATTCGTTAACCAAACATGTCGTACAAAAAAAATTGAAGTCTTTTATAATCTCAACAAATATACTTTACAAAATAACGCACTGGTCTGAACTTGAGATCTAGAGAATTCAACTGTTATTTACATAACCGAATAAGATTTGTGTAAGGTTAAGGCAAAGAAGTAGGGAAGGAATTCTCTGTTATAAGAATCGTTTAATGCAAAGACTCTGTACAACTTATCACGGTGCCTACTAAGGCAAAGAAGTAGGGAAGGAATTCTCTGTTATAAGAATCGTTTAATGCAAAGACTGTACAACTTATCACGGTGCCTACTAAAAGCAATTGGTCTGAGATTAAGGTTGAAAATATCTTAGAATCACAGCTAAACTATTGATATTTGGATCTCACTTCGTAGGTGTGGTTTTTCCACATATCTAAGGGAGTGTTTGTTTGTTTTATTGGATTTCGCACGCGTTTACACGAGAGATATCTGTGCTATACAACCCTGATTTTAAAGTTATAGATTAGAGGGAAGAGAGCTAGTCAACGTCATCACTATCATCAACTCTTGGACTACTATTGTCAGATCGAATAATTGGATTTGAGCGTCATTGTTACAACGCATTCACAGCCCCAAAGTACAAAGCGTGAGATGTAAACCACAGAATCCCAGCACCATGATTTGGCACGCTAACCACTAGGCCACGCTCGACCCATTTAAGTTAAATTTTATCATGCCTGAACCATTCATTGGTGACAAATTGCCAAACCTAAACCGCACCCAGAAGTTTGCTCTAAACAACTGTTTTTTGTTTTCACTCTAAACGGTCCGCGGTGGCTCAATGGTAAACTTGGTGGCTTATAAAGCTAAATTTCGGGTTGGATCTCTGCGGTGGGCTTACCACAGGTGTTACGTACTGGAATTTTAAATGGCCTGAAATTGGGTTACATGATAATTTAAATTTAACAGTTAAATTGTACTTTGGATTTAGCAGTTAAATAAAAGCCGATACATGGTCAGTTTTATGATTTTTGCCAACAAGATTGATGCACACAG